AGTTGTGCTCGCAATAGTGATACGTGCCAGGCTGAGTATGAATAATCTCGAGATACTCTGTCCATCCTTCGTATTTATTACTAAATTTGATGTCGTTATACTGTCACGTTAGCCAAAAGGAGTTTGGAGGAGGATTGCCTTGGCAGACATCAAGCAATTCTATTCAGCCTGAATGCGTTTCGTTTTATCAAAGCTACCGCACGTGTGTGAGATTAGTGACCCTTAATAATACCCTGATCGTAATTTTAGGTGATAAGTTATAATCAGGTTGATCAACTCTGTCCTGTCTTGACTCAGTAAGCGAACTTACACACTCGCACTCTATGCCAACCCCAAGTTGGCCCGTGGGAGACTGCCGCCCGCCCCGACGAAACGGGTTTCGGGTTTTTTGGGTTACGGGTTTCGGGTTTCGGGTGTTTTTCGAGTACAGAATGTAACTATCGTCCTTGCTCCGTTGCATGTATCGAGATCCCTCATTAATCGATCTATATGTATCCGCACGACATTGTTTATCTGATCTCTCTTTCCCCGAATATGTCGAGTTCTTCAAGCCACACTCGAGAGCAGGAGTTGCCACAACTCAACAATATAGTTTACCATGTGCATATTCCCCCCCACTCACACTAGTCTGAACTCATCAAGTCCAGTAACGATTTATAGCAATGCAGTTTCGCCCCAGTGATATAAAAAACACTAGTAAAAAATATATCTCACGACTACTGCATATTATCTCGAAAATCGGATTTTTCACAGTGTATTACTACGCCACTTCACGTAAAACGGGTAGTCGTGAACCTCCAATATTATTCATATCAGTGGGAGAAATATGCACATGGCCAACTTCGTGTGTTAGTGACATTATGAAAATTCTGAGAGGAAATTTTTGGGTATTTTCTAGTAGTTTCCATGTACTTCTCCCCGAATTTATATGTGAACTCCTATGATTAGTGAGGAAACTTCATATGTGCCCAGCCGAGGAGAGCGAACATATATTCCTCCTACTCCAACACTGATTTATACCCACCTCGCAGTCCTGGTCCCTTTATATAATACAGCAAAGAAGATAGCACAAAGGAGACCCACTGCTGTTAACGTCGAGGCGAATGATACCTTATTAAACGAATACACAATAAAACTCCATCCGTGAAGTGACGTAGTACTGCATGTAAATTATAAAGGGTGTATGCTCCCACGACCGATAACACAATTGTTTTCCGCGAAGTGGGTCTTGAAATATGTCTTACGTGGAACTCCAATGTGTATTACACATGAGTTCGAATGAGAGTTCGAATATTCACGTACGACGGATAATATCGTGTGAATTTATGTGAATTCATTGGACTGCCACCCGTGATATTTCAGTGAAACGCTAGTGAAAATTTCTGTGAAAAACGCAAGTCAGCTGTGAATAACGCGTAAAACACGTGAAACGCTACGAGCGTTTCTGGTGTGATTCGCCAAGTATCTTCAATTCACTTCATATCGCGTTTTTCACATGGAGTATTACACCACTTTACGTAAAACTCCATTGAATATCACTTATATCTCAACAGAGACCTACCGCCAGTGTGGGTGTTTTTCGGTTTCCTCACTGACTATCAAAATCCATACACGATTTTGGGTAGGGATATTCAAAAACCAACGAATCGTTGGTAGCATCACTACTGCCTCAACTAGTGGTCCTGTGACTAGCACTACTACTGCCTCAACTAGTGGTCCTGTGACTAGCACTACTACTGCCTCAACTAGTGGTCCTGTGACTAGCACTACTACTGCCTCAACTAGTGGTCCTGTGACTAGCACTACTACTGCCTCAACTAGTGGTCCTGTGACTAGCACTACTACTGCCTCAACTAGTGGTCCTGTGACTAGCACTACTACTGCCTCAACTAGTGGTCCTGTGACTAGCACTACTACTGCCTCAACTAGTGGTCCTGTGACTAGCACTACTACTGCCTCAACTAGTGGTCCTGTGACTAGCACTACTACTGCCTCAACTAGTGGTCCTGTGACTAGCACTACTACTGCCTCAACTAGTGGTCCTGTGACTAGCACTACTACTGCCTCAACTAGTGGTCCTGTGACTAGCACTACTACTGCCTCAACTAGTGGTCCTGTGACTAGCACTACTACTGCCTCAACTAGTGGTCCTGTGACTAGCACTACTACTGCCTCAACTAGTGGTCCTGTGGCTAGCACTACTACTGCCTCAACTAGTGGTCCTGTGACTAGCACTACTACTGCCTCAACTAGTGGTCCTGTGACTAGCACTACTACTGCCTCAACTAGTGGTCCTGTGACTAGCACTACTACTGCCTCAACTAGTGGTCCTGTGACTAGCACTACTACTGCCTCAACTAGTGGTCATGTGACTAGGTTGGAACAAGCGTTTTTAGACCAATGAAATTATCGCTGGCAAGTTGCCATTCCCTAAGATTTTCTCAGAATTTCCATATTGTAAGATTTGACCATGTGCATATATATCCCCCTTAACAGAGACCTACCGCTTTCACAACATCTCCATGATACCATTCTAATAACGATGCATTCAGAGCGCTACCAGCAACACCGCCTGAAACATATGTCTACCTGGTGACGATTATTACGAAATTTTGGGAGAAACTTTTGGGAAAATTTTCATTGGTTTCTGTATACTCCTACCCCGTGTGGAAACTCCTTTAATAAGCGAGGACACTGGCGAGCTCAAAACCGCGCACTATACAGTGATGGAGTAGGAATATATGTAATCGCTTTCCTCAGCTGCTGAGCTGAGAAGAGTTTCCTATACAGTGTTGGAGTAGGAATATATGTAATCGCTTTCCTCAGCTGCCGAGCTAAGAAGAGTTCCCTATACAGTTTTTAATGTGCATCGTCTTTCACCCACACTGCAACCGCACTCACCTGATCTGCACGCTACTATAATAAGGCCATACGCTGCTACTAGTGAATTACCAGAGAATAGACGATAACACAGTACTGTTTGGACTGATATACACAACAACAACAACAACATATACAACAACATATACAACATTAACATATACAACAACACTAACATAAACAACAACATATACAACAACAACATTTACAACAACAACATATACAACAACAACATATACAACAACAACATTTACAACAACAACATATACAACAACAACATATACAACAACAACATATACAACAACAACATATACAACAACAACATATACAACAACAACATTTACAACAACAACATATACAACAACAACATATACAACAACAACATATACAACAACAACATTTACAACAACAACATATACAACAACAACATATACAACAACAACATTTACAACAACAACATATACAACAACATATACAACAACAACATATACAACAACATATACAACAACAACAACATATACAACAACAACATATACAACAACAACATATACAACAACAACATATACAACAACATATACAACAACAACAACATATACAACAACAACATATACAACAACAACATATACAACAACAACATATACAACAACAACATATACAACAACAACATATACAACAACAACATATACAACAACATATACAACAACAACAACATATACAACAACAACATATACAACAACAACATATACAACAACAACATATACAACAACTTATACGACAACAATAAACATCATGAAGTTATTATTTAGATATTGTATCAAATATAACAACCCCGTAATATTATGAAAATTAAACTGAAAGATAATACAATGAAGTATAAATTAACTAATAATAAACCTAAGGGTCTATCAAAAACCACCGAGTTCTGATGAGTCTGACCATAATCATTGGAGTTTCAGATATCAAAACACAGTCCACGACCACTGCATATCACGGCGAATATAAGCTTTTTCACAGAGTATTACGCCACTTCACGTAAAACTGGTGGAACTCCATTATATAAATATATACCATAATTTATTGAAATTCAATTACATAAATATATACCATAATTTACGCATTTCAACTTTCATCGTCATTGACTCACCAACACACAATATGTAAAGGAAGGTCCAAAAGATGATTCTCCCTAGGAGCACAACACCATACCTATGGGAAGAATAATTTCGTCGCGCAGTGACGTTTTCCTCACGCTTTATTCTGCAGACCCACCACGACCAATGCCGACCCCACGCAAGTTAGCATTGCGGCCGATAACGCCGATTTCGTAATGCCGTACCTAAACCGTTTATCAGTGTGGGGAAATATGCACATGTATTGATGAAAATATAAAAAATTTTGGGAAATTTTCGTTGGTTTTGTACACTTGTACTCGACATAGGAAATTCTGAGGAAATTCTCGGAAATATCCGTTGAGTTCTGTACACTCCTACCCGGCATATGAGAAATCTGGGAAAAATTTTGAGGAAATTCTCATTGATTTTCTGTACACTTCACCTCAAATTCATATAATTAGTGAGGTAACTCCTGAGCTCAGGTGAAGCAAACAAAATACATATTCCTCCAACATCGCTTGACACCGTCTCGAAGTGGATACGACAATCCGTAATCGATTTCAATGAAATCGACCTACTCCAACACCAGTTACTCTAGAATAACTACTCAAAAAAAATAATTTTCAGATGTTCATTCACATGAGTAGTGAAACATGTGAAGTGAGAATGTTGTGGTCACTAGAAGACATAGAAGAATTGTCCCCCATGGTTGCCTTATAATTGTGCATCTCGCGTCAAGCTAGTATGTTAGTTTACAATTATTAAACTTCCATAAAGTGCAAACCGAACAGTTATGCATATCTAGATTTCCGAGATGTCTTTTCCAGTTTGACCACGGAATACTTGGTGTCAACCGATTCACATCGATATTACTCAAAATTGACTTTCGAGCTTGCAGAAATCTACGGCGACAACAATACTGCTTTGCATAACGGTTTAGTTCACACTGTATATCTTTCAAATTTTTGATTGATTCTACATTCTGCGTTGAAACAGAAAGTATTTCGTTGACTCAAAGGATATTGGAAAACCGTCTATAAACATGCCTGCAAATTTTCAATTTTCCAACTCTTCAAAAATTAAGAAAACCCAATAAAAAATTTTCACACAAATCACCACACAAAGCGAGAATTGACTATCTCGTTCAACGAGCCGATGCGGTTTCAACGTTCAAAAAATCGTCAGAAAAAAGAAAAAATCAGAAATTTCCAAACCGATTCACTTTGCCACTATCACTCCAAAGGGCCCACAGAGAACACCCGTCAACGATGGCAACGAAAATAATAATGCAAAATGTTCATGATCGATGCGGAGATATTCGAGTATCTACCATAAAAAAATATGTGGAGGGGGGTATGCACATGGCCAGCTCTGTGTTGGTGATGACAATATGGGAGGAAATTCTTGTTGGTTTACGTACACTTCTACCCGAATTCGTTAATAAACTCCTATAATCAGCTGAGAACAGCGAACGAATTCGCAACACTATATTCGTTACCCTTAAATTTAATATTAATCACAACTCAGACCCACCTGCGTTTTAAACGCATGTGCTATCAACAGAAATTCGTGAAAAAATTTTTTGGGAATTTCTGTTGATTCCTGTACACTTCTACTCTAATTCGTATATGAACTCCCGAGCTCAGCTGAGGAAGATGAACATATTACAGTGCGAACCTAACAGTTATGCATATCTAGATTTCCGAGATGTCTTTTTCCAGTTTGACCACGGAATACTTGGTGTCAACCGATTCACATCGATATTCCGCAAAATTGACTTTAAAAGCGACAAAAATACTGCTTTGCATAGCGGTTTAGTTCACACTGTGTGATTTGATATTAATCGCAACTTCGGCACACCTGAGTTTTATAAGCCGCTAAAATGCTATCAGCAAAATAAGCCCCGGGTATGTAAAGGCAAATGAGGAGGTGAAGAATGCATCTATGGAAGATCCTTCTCGGGTCTACAATATATCTACAACAAGGCAACCAATAATCGTCGGGTTCATGTGAACGTTTTTACCCCGTGAAAACCGTAG